CAAACCGGGGCCCTGCTGCTCAGAGCTGGCATCTCAAGCCAACTCTTAATCAACGTACCACTCAGCCGGCCCCTATTTTTGATATTTTGACAAAATTACCAAGAAGTTCAAATTCCACAGTCATAGGTCTAGGGATACTGTAACTTCTCACTTTTTATACTGGATGGGTTAGAGAAATTAAAAATGCCATATGTGGGGCCGGCCGAGTGGCGCGTTGGTTAAGAGCTGGCTTGGGACACCAGCTCTGAGTAGCAGGGCCCCGGTTTGGATCCCACATATGGGGGCCAGTGATGCTGCCCTCTCCAGCTAAGATGGTGAACAACAGCTCAACCTGGAGCTGGGCTGCTGTGAGTCGCCGGCGATGGCGTAGGCTGCAGCCCCTGCTGCAGTGGGCTGCGATAAGCTACCGTGTGTGGCCGGCAGCCAGTGTGAGCGGCAGGCAGCCGGTGTGAGCTGCTTAGAGCCACTGTGAGTGGTCGTCCGGTGGCCGGCAACCGATCTGGCTCAGCCGAGAAGAGCGCAATGATAATACCAACATGGGCCAGTGAAGCAACGTCCTCCACAGCTAGACTAAAGAACAAAAGGACAGCAACTTGTTCCCCTTCCCTGATTCCCCAACACTGTTCCCACCCCCAATTCCCCAACAAAATCTTTTAAAAATAAAAAAAATAAAATAAATAAAATAATATGAAAAAGAAAGGTTGAAAATAAAGTGATAGTTAAAGAGACACTAGGCAAGTGCAAACCAGAAGGAAAGGAATCTCAAAAAAGGAATAGCAGTATTAATAGCAGATGAAATAGAATTTAAGATGAAAAGTAAACTGTGTGATAATTTCAATTTACAGAAGATATAATAATGAATACAGAAGCGTGTAGACCTTGATAAAATAGTGATAGTGGGAGACCTGTCATAGTTGGACAAATCTAGTAGACAAAAAAAAGTCAAAAATAAAAATTAAAGAAGATCACCAATATATTTGGTTCAAAAGAAAATATACATTTTTCCTATACCTAAGGAACATTTGTAAAAACTGATCATGTATTTGGCCACAAAGAAAATTATTACATACATTATTTCTTGATCACAATCAATCTAATTAAAAATAAAAGGTGACTAAAAAAATTTAACAATTTGGAGATTTTACAGATACAGATATTACTGGATATATAACCCTTGGACCTAAAAGAAAATTATATACAAACTATCTAGAAAGGGATGGAAAGAGGAATACAATACACCTTACCAGCCACTATGGAACATAATGACAGCTGTTTTGAGGAGAAAGTTAATGGCCACAAATGCCTTTATCATTAAAGAAAAAATTTTTAAGAACAGAAGAATTAAGTACTCACTAAAACTAGATTATTAAGGTAAATTACAGAATGACTAAGAATTTGAATGCAACAAAAGTGAAACAGTGGAAGTACTAAACTCTACAGCATGCGCACACAGCAGCAGTGGTGGCCGTATGCAGCTCAAGGCTGAGCGCACCGGGTAGCCCTCACGGCCCGGCCACTGTTGTCCAAGGCTTTATTGCAGTTACTTCCCCCAACAGAGGTCCCAAAGCGAAAAGCAGACCTATCTGGAAGAGATGCATTTAGAAAACACCACCAGATTCTGTCCAAAGATAAATAAAGAGAAAGTGAACAAACATCTTTTTGTGACCAAAACCCCAGGCAAGACCAGAAAGGGGGCTTTCAAGCTGCTTCCCACAAGCTCTTTAAAAAGAGAAATGGGAACTTACTGGTGAAGATTTCTGGGGTCCTTGGGGATGGTGGTGACATCGGAGCTTTCCCATTTCCAGATTTTAGGTCAAGTGGATAAGAATACAGGGAAAAATATCTAATGAGAATCCCTTAATGGATCCTTCATCTACCAAACAAGATTTCTTCAGAAACTGACTTGCTTTTGCAAATGACCTTGACCAAGGAACAGTTGTGTAAAACGTACTTAAAGTTGTATTGTAAAGTGGTAAGATGAGGATAAAAAGCTTGTATATATTTATGTAGTAAAAAAAATAAAGCATATATATATTCTTGAGGAAAACTAATATACATACTTAACACATGAAACTAAATTAACATACTAACAAGACATTAAAGAGATGACGATTAGTCTATGGTTGAGAGCTGGCTTTTTGAACCTCAACAGTTGGGAAAAGGGAAACGAAGACTTCTTACAGCATAAAAGAAAAACAGTAAATTTAGAGAAAAATAAATGTTTGTAAGAACATAAAAAAAAAATAAGAGTAAGAGAATCTGTAAGAAAACTGTTAAAAATTAATCTCAGAATAGTGAAGTCCATTCTGTGTACAACTTAAAACTCAGATGCTATAAAAGAAAATTCAATTACATAAAAAGAAAAATAATTTTGCACTTAAAAGTAGGAACCATGTAAAAAGAAATAGTAAACGGGGAAAAGATTTGGAATTCATATCACAGAACTAATTTTGTTAATATATAAACGGCTTCTACAAATCAATAAGAAAAAGACCCTACCAATTCAGTAAAAAAAATGGGTGAATGATATGAATGAAAGATTTGTAGTAAAGCAAGGCTTATTATTAGGTTGTTCTGGATATAAGTCTTTGGTCAGATCTATGTTTTATGGTTGTTTTCTCTGTCTATGGCTTTTCTACTTTTCTCAACCATGTCCTTTGACAAATGGAGATTTTAAATTCTGATGAAACCTAATTTACCATACTTTTTCCTTTTATAATTCTTGCTTTTTATATTGAGTCTAAAAAAGTATTTGCCTCAAATGTTTTCTTCTAATAACTTTTATAGTTTTAGGTTTACATCTCAGTGTATCTCAATTTTTGTATAAGACATGAGGTAGGGATCAAGGTTCTTTTTTTTCTTCTGTTTTTTTTTTTTTTAAGCTGAGCCATCCTGCCACCTGTTGGCAGCTCAGCAGCAGCTCAGCTCGGGCCATAATCGAACCACTGTTGCTCAGAGTTCACACTGTTGAGCAAGCTCTTAACCAACTGAGCCACTCGGCCGGCCCTAAGGTTCTTTTTTTATCTCCATATGGATATCTAGTTGTTCCAATGTCATTTGCTGAGATTTCTCTTTCCCAGTTTAATTACTTTGGCACCTTTGTAGAAAGTCAGTTGACCATATACGATTATGTGTAGGTCTCTTTCTGGGCTTTATGTTCTCTTATGTTGATCTCTTTGAGCTTATGCTAGTATCTTACTGTCTTGATCACCATATCTTTTGCAGTTTATGGTTTTGAAATCAGTGTAATTTGGCCAGCTTTATTCTTTTTCCAGATTGTTTTGGCAACTTTAGGCCCTTTGTATTTTCATATAAATTTTAGAATCAGCTTGTGAATCTCTTTTTTTAAAAAAACCTGCCGAGGGCCGGCCCAGTGGCTCAGTTGGTTAAGAGCTTGCTCAAGAGTGTGAGCTCTGAGTTAACAGTGGTTCGATTCCTGGCCCAAGGTGAGCTGCCACTGAGCTGCCAACAAGTGGTACGATGGCTCAGCTAAAAAAAGAAAAAAGAAAAAAGATCTCTCTAAAAAACCTGCCGATTATGATTGGGATTATGTTTAATCTATATGTTCATTTGGGGAGAATGGACATCTTAACGATATTATGCCAGTCCTTGAACATGGCATATTTTCCATTTATTTGGACCTTAACTTTTTCTCAGCAGTATTTTATAATTTTTAGTGTACAGGTCTTGTACATATTTTTTTAAAAAAACCCTAAGCACTTCATATTTTTGAAACTGCTATAAACAGATTTTTAAACATGTTATCTTCCAGTTGTTTGCTGTAAATTTATAGAAAATACATTTAATTTCTGTATATTGACCTTGTAGCCTGTAATCTTGCCAAACTCACTCATTGGTTCTAGGAGCTTTTTTTTGGAGATTCTGTGAGATTTTCATAGACAATCATGTCGATAAGGAGTGACTTTTATTTCTTCACTTCTAAACTGTAGCCCATTGTTTTTCTTGCCTTATTGCTAGGACAGCTAGTACAATGTTGAATAGAAGTAACGAGAGAGGACATCTTTGCCTTGTTCTCCATCTTAGGAGGAAAGTATTGAGTCTTTCACTACTATTTCTGAGGTCAGCTGTAGGTTTTTTTGTAGATGCTCTCTATCAGGTTAAGGAAGTTCCCTCCTTTGCTGAGAGGTTTTTTTGTTTGTTTTTAAAGATTTTATTAGGGAGTTGGGGGAGGGAACAGCATTGGATAATTGGATAATTGGGGAAGGGGAACAGACAAGTTGCTGTCCTTTGGTTCTTCAACCTAGTTGTGGAGGACGTTGTTTCACTGGCCGTGTTGGTATTGTGATCATTGCGCTCTTCCCGGCTGAAGCAGATCGGTCGCTGGCCATTGGACGGCGGCTCATGGCGGCTCATAGCAGTTCACACCAGCTGCCAGCCACTCACGGTAGCTTTACAGCAGCCCACTGCAGCCCCACTGCAGCCTACACCATCACCAGCGACTGATGGTAGCCCAGCTCCAGGTCAAGCTGTTGTTCACCATCTTAGCTGTAGAGGGCGCAGTGTCACTGGGTGCGGGATCCGAACCGGCAGCCCTGTTGCTCAGAGCTCATGCTCCCAAGCCAACTCTTAACCAACGAGCCACTCAGCCGGCCCCTCAGAGTTTTTAATCATAAATGGATGTTGAGTTTTATCAAAAGCTTTTCCTGCATCTAAGGAGATGATCCTGTGGCTTTTCATCTTTATTCCTTTAGTGGGACCCAAACTGAAGGAGCAGCAACTAATCTTGAGACATGCCAGTCTCAGAGCCACATCATGGCTCTTGAAGCTTCAGCTTGGTCATGACATAACTTCACTTCTGTTTAGAACACATTGGTTAAAACAAATCACATGACAGGAGTACATTTCTCCCCCGGGAGGGGCAGTGAAGCCACATGGCAATAAGCAGTTCTATATAATCCTCTCATAGGGGAGGGCAAGAAATAATTGGGATCAATAATACAATCTACCACACACATCATTTTTTAAAAAAATTATAGTTGACATACAGTATTATTATTTCAGATGTGTAACACAGTGATTCAACATTTATATGCTGTACCACAGTGATTCAACATTTATATGCTGTACAAAGTGATTACGACAATAAGTCTAGTAGCCATGTGTTGCTGTACATAGTTATGATAATGATTCTATTCCCTATGCTGTGTGTTATATACCTGTGACTTATTTTATAACTTGGCAATTTGTACTTCTTAATACCATTCACCTTTTTTGCCCATTCCCCTACGCTCTCTGCTCTGGCAGCCACTAGTTTGTTATTTGTATCTGTGAGTTTGTTTTTGCTTTTGTTTGTTCATTTGTTTTGTTTTTCTGGATTCCACATATGAGTGAAGTCACAGTATTTGTCTTTATTTGTCCAACTTAGCTTATACCCCAGGGTAAAACAGGTTTATACCCTGTATCACTTAGTATTATACCCTCTAGTTCCATCCATATTGTTGCAAATGACAAGATTTCATTCTCTTTTATGGCTAACATTCCTGTGTGTGTGTGTGTGTGTGTGTGTGTGTGTGTGTGTGTGTGTATGTATGTATGTATGTATCTCATCATCTTTATCAATGGACACCTAGGTTGCTTCCATATCTTGGTTGTTATAAATAATGCTGCAGTGAACGTAGGGGTGCATATATCTTTTTGAATTAGTGTTTCAGTTTCTTTGGATAAATACCTGTAAGTGGAATTACTGGGTCCTATGTTTGAAAGTTCTTGGGCTGGCCGAGTAGTGCGTTGGTTAAAAGTTGTCTTGGGACGTCAGCTCTGAGCAGCAGGGCCCCAGTTCAGATCCCACATGAGTGCCAGTGATGCTGCGCCCTCTACAGCTAAGACGGTGAACAGCATCTCCACCTGGAGCTGGGCTGCCGTGAGTCGCCGGCGATAGCATAGACTGCAGTGGGGCTGGCTAGCAGTGGACATGAGTTTTTGTTAGCTGCCGTGAGTGGCCGTCCAATGGCTGGTGACTGATCTGCCTCGCCTGGGAAGAGCACAATGATGGTGCCAGCTTGGGACAGTGAAGCAACGTCCTCCACAACTAGACTGAAGAACAAAACGACAGCAACTTGTCTGTTCCCCTTCCCCTGATTCCCCAGCACTGTTCCCCTCCCCCAATTCCCCAATTAAAAAAAAAAATTTAATTCACTCTTTTACAAATGTTTATTGGATATCTACTACATTCATCATCCACACCTGGGACTTTGAATGGAATAGCAAATATTTCTAGATTGTAAATGATGTATCAGAATATAAAGGATGAATTAGGATGTAAAGAATATGTAAAGAATTATCAGGGGTCCGGCCGAGTGGCTTGTTGGTTAAGAGTTGGCTTGGGAGCGCAAGCTCTGAGCAGCAGGACTGCTGGTTAGGATCCCACATGGGCCAGTGACGCTGTGCCCTCTACAGTTAAGATGGTGAACAACAGCTCAACCTGGAGCTGGGCTGCTGTGAGCCACAGGCGACGGTGTAGGCTGCAGTGGGCTGCTGTGAGCTACCATGAGTGGCTGGCAGCCAGCGTGAGTGGCCAGCAGGTGGCGTGAGCTGCCGTGAGCCACCTTGAGCAGCCATCAAATGGCCGCTGACCAATCTGCCTCAGCCAGGAAGAGCATAGTGATCACAATACCAGCATGGGCCAGTGAAACGACGTCCTCCACAACTATACTGAAGAGCAAAAGGACAGCAATTTGTCTGTTTCCCTTCTCCGATTCCCCAACGCTGTTTCCTCCCCCAATTCCTCAAAAAACTCTTTCTAAGAAAAAGAATTATCAGGGATATTTTTCTCAAATTTAACATCTGGGAAACCCGGGGTTGTAGTAGTGATAATAGCTAAGATTTATTGGCTACATATAATGTGCTAAGCACAGTTTTATGAATTTTAAATTTTTTTTTTTTTAAGATTTTTGTTGGGGAATTGGGGGGATAGGAACAGTGCTGGGGAATTGAGGTAAGGGGAACAGACAAGTTGCTGTCGTTTTGTTCTTCAGTCTAGTTGAGGACGTTGCTTCACTGGCCGAAGTTGGCACCATCATTGCACACTTCCCAGGCGAGGCAGATCAGTCGCCAGCTTCTGGATGGCCGCTCACGCTGGCTGCTGGCTACACACAGTAGCCCATGGCAACCCACTGCCACAGGGGTTGCAGCCTACGCCGTCGCCAGAGACTCATGGCAGCCCAGCTCCAGGTTGAGCTGTTGTTCAGCATCTTAGCTGTAGAGGGCAGTGTCACTGGCCCTCATATGTGGGATCCGAACCGGGGCCCTCTGGCGTCCCAAGCCAGTTCTTAACCATCGCGCCACTCGGCCGGCCCGAATTTTAAATTTATTATCACTCTCAACAACTTCATAAGGTAGATACTATTGTTACTTGTACTTTATATTGGGGAACTCAAAGCACAAAGAAGACATGAAAATTGCTAAAGTCATTGGGCCAATAAGTAGAAGAGCCACAATTTGAACTTGACTTGAATTATTTCGGAGCCCATGATCTTTACTACCCCATGTCTGCAGAACCATAGCAGCCTTATAGTCTATGGTGTTTTCTATACCATGTTTCCTTCCTAAATAAGAATTGAGTCTAGGTCAAATATATACACAAGAAAATTAGTTAAGCATGAAAATAAGGGGCCAAGTCATATTAGGCAGTTAATAAGGTCAGGTAGTATGTTAAATGAAAAAATAGTGCTTCCTATTTCTTCAGTTTTCTTAGTATTGTACCTTATTAGTTATAAGCATGCGCTTTAGACTAAGACCCAGGTTCAAATCCTGGCTTCACTCCTTATTAGTTCTATGACCTTGGACAGGTCAAAGGTCAGGAAATGGAAGCTGCTGTTTGTTGTTGATTTCGATAGGTGGTGGTGATGGCTGTATTTGTTTTTCTTTTCTTGATCAGGTGGATTTGTTTAAAAAGAGTCTTCTGTTGATCCCTATTCACCTGGAAGTCCACTGGTCTCTCATTACTGTGACACTCTCTAATCGAATTATTTCATTTTATGATTCCCAAGGCATTCATTTTAAGTTTTGTGTAGAGGTAAGTTAATATACTACCTATTTTTTCATTTATCTTGTGATTGACCAAATAGTATGTTAGCTCTTCTAGATAGAACAGCAGAAGTCAATACCACAGAGGACCAATTTGTTATAAAGCCCCTCTGAAATGTTGGCAGAGATAAGGACTACAAGAGGAATCTCCAGGTGGGGAGAGCTGTCTATGATCTGGGTCTCTCTCTAAGATACGTACCTTATTTGGATTTTGCCTTTTCCTTCATTTTGAATGTGGACAGAAATCATGTTCCGTGGTTTCTGTTAGAACTGAAATTTGCCTTTATCTTCAAAATAACTTCTGTAGAATGAATTATAACCAAGACAACCACCTGGCAAAATATAAGAGTTCAACAATGGTGGGATACAAAGCAAGAAAAGTCAGTATGTTTCTTAGTTTTCTGCACTAGCAAAAACCAGATAGAAAATTTACTGAAAACAGAAAGATTCCATTTTTAAAAGCAACAAAGATGTAAATTATCCAGAAATATATCCTAGCAAAAAAAATGTGGAAGTTTTTAAAGATGAAACTCTAAGGTATTTAAAGGAAATCTGAATAGATAGAAAGATAGACAGAGTCAATATTGGGAAGAGATGAATTCTCCTCAAACTAATATATACCAATTTCTGTCCTAATCAATTTCCCAACAGGATTTTGAATGAAATCTGATTAAGCTCATCCAGAATTCATATTGCAGAATTCATGTGCATGAATAGCTAAAACAGTTTTGAAGTAGAATAGTGAAGGAAAGAATACTTCATCTACTAAGATGTCAAACTATATCACAAAGTTTTAATAATGAAAACTATACTTAGGATATTGGTGGTACAGCATAAAGAATCTAGAAATAACTCATGTATATGTGGGAACTTAGTATATGATAAAATTGGGAAAGGACAGGCTATTCAATATATGCCATTGAAAAATTAGCTGTCTATTTAGAAAAGTAAAATATGGATCCTTCATATTATTAGGTTGTCGGAAAAGTCATGACGTATTTTTTCTATGTTTTTAGTTGCAAAAATGCGTCATGACTTTTCCGACAACCCAATATTTATAAAAACAAATTACAGATAGAATAATGACTTAAATATAAAACACAAAACTGCAAAAGTTAGAATAAAATATATAAGGTGTTATGTTCTTAGTGTAGGGAAGGCATTCTCACACAGGACCAAAAAAGCAAAAGACATAAAGATCAGATTGATAAATTTGACCATCATGATTTAAAACCTCTATATTCCATAAAGTTAAAAGACAAGGGATAGACTTGGAGAAAATGTTTGTGATATATAGTCACTATCCAGAATATATAAAGAACTCCTACAAATGAGTAAGAAAAAGGACCTAATAGAAATGGACAAAGGATAAAATAAATAATTTTAGGAAAAATAACCATTAAACACATGGAGAGACAGATGCTCAGCTTCACCAGAAACATAGGAAATGCAAATACCGTCCCATTTTTTGTCTTATTAGGAAAAGTTTGATGTTATTCGGGTGTTTATGTGGGTGTAAGGAAACAGGCATTCTCATATTTTTCTGGTGGAATATACAAATTGATACAGCCACTTGGACATTTACAGTTCTCATCAGTTCTAAGTGCCTTATAAATTAAAAAGATGCCTATATTATTGCACATCAGTTCTATTTTTTGATGTCTACTCCATAAAAATGCATATATACATACAAGGATGGGCATGCACCAGTATATTCATTGTGGTATTATTGATTATAGTGAAAAATCAGAACAACCTAAATTAAGTTCTACCAACAGATTATTGAAATACATACACTATAGTATACATAGTCATACTATTATACTGACCATAGCAATTAAAAAGAATATAGTGGATCTCCATTGTTCTAACATGGAAAGATCTCCAAGACATAGTGAGTTTTAAAAAGCAAGTTGCAAAATGATAGAGTATAATGTATTTATAGAAATAAAATACATATATGCATGTGTGTGTGTGTATATATATATATATATATACATATGTATATACATACACACATTTGTGTATATACACATGCATACATACTTCTACTCCACTTTCAGGGGGGTGAATTTCATTCATGTAACCCTCTGACTTAAGCCTTAGAAGAGATGTGCAGAGAGAGAGATGCGCAAAGAGGTTGAGGGCATAAGGGAAAATTTGAAACTCCAGTGGGGTTCATCTTGGTAGAGATTTCAGCAGTGGATTTGACTCTATTTAATATCCAGAATGGGTTTAAGTATAACTCTAGAAACTGAATGATACCTTAACCTGCAGCTCTCAAAATATGGAGTATATCTAAGGGTGGAATGTTTTTCATTTAGTTTGTTATTAATGATTTCTGCCATGGGTTCCCTCCCTTTACTGAGCATTGGCAGTAATTTTTAATTTTCAAATTGAGCAGGATGACTTACTGTTGAAAAAGGCTGACCATCTAAGTTCTTATTAAAACGTATATCAGTGTCCACAGTCTTAAGTGCGTCCTTGAGTACAGAGGGTCTGAGTCCCTGTTAACATTATGAAGTCAAAGGTCTGAAATAAAGTTCCAGCTTTAAACTCATTTTTTCAAAAGACATAAAAGAACAATGGTGGGGCCACAGCTGCCTCTTTTGCTTCTATCTGCTGTGGGCAGGTTCCATTTTTCACCATTTGATGGAACACAGTATCTGTGTTGTGTTTTCTTTTTAACCAGAACATAAGAAAGTATTTGCTGACTGAAGCCAGAGAAAAAAATAGACCTGAATTTCTTCAGGGTTGGCAGACTGCTGTTACAAAGGTAAGTATCTGATAAAAATGAAAACCCAGGCATATCGGGGGTGGAATTATCTAAGGGGTGGGTGTCTTTAAAAGCATTTTTAAACTGGTGATGAAGATAGCAACGGAGAGCCTGGAGGCTTCAGGGAGGAAGGTATTCATCATCTGGCTGCTCAGTTTCCCAGTGCTTGCTGGGAACAAATAAATTCAGTCATTTCATCCCTGGGCAGCTGCTAATGATGTAGTGGTTCTACTGAAAATAAAAAATTATATATATATACATATATATATA